AGCAAGGCAACAAAGCCAGGAGAGGCGGCAACTTACGCACGAGCAACCCATACACATTATACATATGTACAGTTGAAGCTCTGTCTGTGCTGTACTTCCAAGTTTAATGGTCTTTCCCATATTCTTTAGATGCACAGAAAGAGGGGAAAATACTCTGTAATAAAAAAAATCTCTTATAGAAGTAAGGCAGCTCCAGGGGGACAACAGTCTATGGTGGATGAAGACGGTTCCCAGTTCTCTGGAGGAATGTTCTTAAAATGAGAGCCTACATTCCCCGAGGATGCACAGTTTTAAAGGGGAAGGTTTTCTCCTCCCTCCTTTACAACATGTCTTCCTTTATTATTTTCCATTAAGACATACAAACACACACTAGCTTCCAGATCTGTCATTTGCTTTCAGGATTTTAGTATAAGCAACAGAACAACCCAGGCAATTATCTCTCTGGCTTTTATGCTTAAACCAGGGTTGCCACATTTCAACAAATTTCGGCAAAGATGTTGAGCTTTTTCTTGTTGTTGGGGTTAGGGAGGCAAAGTTGTTGAACAAAAAAATTAAGTTTTTGAGCTATTTTTTCAGAAATTCACTAAATAATCGACGGTTGCCATATGCCCAGATTTCCTCAGACATTTTTGGAAATTTCACCCAGACACTATTTCCAACGGGAGAATCCCGGATGTGTTCAGAAAATTCGGATGTGTGGCAGCCGTAGCTTAAACACCCATGTAGAAATAAAAGCTAAATCAGTATATGCTTTTGAAAAGCTGCGAGACAGCTTGGGGAACCCTTCTCTGCAAATATGTCGCATCATCCGTATCCCTGGTCAACCAATGTGCTGCAACTGGAACTGGGTGTGGAATGGCAGCTGAATAAGAAGCAACTGTGGGCAAACACCGTAAAAAAATCAAGACTAGAGCGAGAGACTGGGATAATGTCTGCTGTTTTCGGAAACTCTTTTTGTTGTGATGTGAGACGAACTGAAAGTGAACTGAAAGTTTGTTTTGACCCTGGTTTGTGAGAACCCAGAGACTGAGAGGGACGGTGTGTCAGAAGGAGAACATGCTGATTTTGTTATAGTTATATAACAGTGGTTTAGACCACAGCGCCACCTGCGCTCTAGGGCTTGCCGATCGGAAGGTCGGTGGTTCAAATCCCAGCAACGGGGTGAGCTCCTGTTGCTCTCTTGCAGCTTCTGCCAACCTAGCAGTTCGAAAGCACACCAGTGCAAGTACAGTGGTACCTCTGGTTATGAACTTAATTCGTCCCAGAGGTCTGTTCTTAACCTGAAACCATTCTTAACCTGAGGTACCGCTTTAGCTAATGGGCCTCCCGCTGCCACCACGCCACCACCGCACAATTTCTGTTCTCATCCTGGGGCAAAGTTCTTAACCCGAGATACTACTTCCAGGTTAGCGAAGTCTGTAACCCGAAGTGTTTGTAACCTGAGGTACCACTGTAGATAAATAGGTACTGCTGTGGCGGGAAGGTAAATGGCATTTCCATGCACTCTGGATTCCATCATGGTGTCCCAATGTGCCAGAAGAGGTTTAGTCATGCTGGCCACATGATCCGGAAAATTGTCTGTGGACAAATGCTGGCTCCCTTGGCCTGAAACCGATATGAATGCTACACCCCATAGTTGCCTTTGACTGGAGTTAACCACCCAGGGGTCCTTTAGTGTTAGACAGATAAATAGGTAGATGATATAGATAGATAGATGATAGATATAGATAGATGATAGATATAAAAAACCTTTGTATTAATGTAATCTATTTATATCTAACTGTGCATTTTTGTAATATTTTGTTTAAGCTGTTTGTTGTTGCTTCAGTTTTTTTGTACACCGCTTAGAGATATTTTCAATCTATGAAGTGGTATAGAAATTGAATAATCAATGAATCCTAATGATGTGATTCAACTGTTTGTGTAAAGATTTTTCTTTCATTTTTCCTTCTAATTTTTGTCAGCTTCAGCGGCATCACCCTCTTTGCCATCCATGTAAAGACACAGGTGAGCAATCTATCAGCACATCATCAGTTGCAACTTTCTCTTTATACACCTTTCTTTTTGGCAGATGTCAATGAATCAGGTTTCTCTGTCTTGCTCACACACAAACACACAATAGTCCCCCCATCTTCCAAGCTCATAGATCGCAATCCATCAAAGAAATGAATGAACAATTTGCAGTATTAGCAGTGGGCTGTAACAAATTATTAGCTTTCCCCTTTGCTAAATGTGAAAGACTTTTATCCTTAAGCCTGGAAATCATAAAGGGAAATTAAAAGATACCCAAATGTTTGTTTATTTTCCAAGGTTTTCTCACTTAGGGAGATTTGATGCATGATTTGTAAATGCTTGAATTTGGCAATATTGAGAAATTTGAAGCAGAGAAAAATGTTTGCATAATTTTTCTTGCGGTTCCTTGGTCATTTGCCTAGGGGGATGGAGGGAGCAGAATCAAATAAGTATGAGAACTGAACATTTTCCACCATCAAATACATGCTATCCTATACATATTCAGAAAAGGGGGAAAGTGAGTTTCCACCTGTCATACTCAAAAGTAATTGCCAACTGATGTGGAAATGCAAACAACTAAATTTAAGATTGGGGGGGAAAGTGAGAAACTGAAATTGACAGATTCTCCCACCACTGTTTCCTGGATTTTCGTAAATGCGCTAAAAATGGATGAGAAAGGTTTGGGAGTTGGATCCAGATCAATTTAGTCATGCTTTTACCCCCAGTGACATAAATATATCAAAGTAACCAATACTCTTGGATAAGGACCCACCACACTTTTGTCTTGGCATGGAGACATGTCAGGTTGAACAGACCCCCATCACTTTGACTTCACCCCCAAAGGTGCATTCTTCCATGGTGTCACGAGACAGACATATGCAAGCCAACCATGTTGTTGTTGTTGTTTGGTCGTTTAGTCGTGTCTGACTCTTTGTGACCCCATGGACCAGAGCATGCCAGGCACTCCTGTCTTCCACTGCCTCCCGCAGTTTGGTCAAACTCATCCTGGTAGCTTCGAGAACACTATCCAACCATCTCATCCTCTGTCGTCCCCTTTTCCTTGTGCCCTCCATCCAAGGTCTTTCCCAACATCAGGGTCTTTTCCAGGGAGTCTTCTCTTCTCATGAGGTGGCCAAAGTATTGGAGCCTCAGCTTCACGATCTGTCCTTCCAGTGAGCACTCAGGGCTGATTTCCTTAAGAATGGATAGGTTTGATCTTCTTGCAGTCCATGGGACGCTCAAGAGTCTCCTCCAGCACCATAATTCAAAAGCATCAATTCTTTGGCGATCAGCCTTCTTTATGGTCCAGCTTTCACTTCCATACATCACTACTGGGAAAACCATAGCTTTTACTATACGGACCTTTGTTGGCAAAGTGATGTCTCTACTTTTTAAGATGCTGTCCAGCCAACCATAGTCATTAATATTTTAAACCCTATTGAGTTCAATTGAGCTGCCCTCTCCTCTTGGCCTGGATATTTTAGCAGCTCTCTTCCTGGATCTGAAATTGGGGAAGGAGTGCATCAAGGGAGCGACTGCTCTTTATCAAGGACAAGACAGTCAGAAGCACTACTGGCATTGGGTGTAACACACACTTTAAGAACTTGTGCCCGAGCTTGCTTTTCCCCCCTCCCTCCCATTCCTTTCTCCTTGTGCGTCATTCTTTTTAGACTGTGAGTTTGAGAACAGGGACTGTCTTAGCTCTGATTTATGTAATATGCTCCAAGACCGAACCTTTTTGGCTAAAAATGCTGTAAGTAAATACTGGATCTGACCTTCTAGTTCACTAATATAAAAGCCACATGGCTCTATGCTCATATACCCAGATCCATACACATACTGACACCCAGGCTGCAAAATAAAATGATACAAACTTTGAAGAAACCCTAGAACAACCTCTGCTTTATCCTTCCTTATTTCTAGAATTGTCCATAGCTATTTTTTCAATTTGCTTTGGTAGCTGAGTAAAAAATAACAGCCCCCCTATCTTTCTCAATTTTTATAAAAATAAATTTCTGTCCTGTTTTACAGTGGACTATATGGGTACAGGAAGACTAAGAAGGAGGCATGGTTGTAAGGAAGAAGCAGAAGTGGAAGGAAAATGTTTTGTGTTGTTGCTCCCTAAAAGCAATGTTTTCACTGAACAGGTGGAGAGATGTTGTTTTCTACTGCAATGACAGACACGTTTTGATGGGCCTGCAATGATATCGGTTTTTGCTTACAACATCCATATTTATTCACTTCATAAACAGGAAGTAACATAGATAACATAGTACTCTTATTCTTACAAAAAAGATTACCACTCTCAGACCAAGCAAACACAGGAAGGCTGCCAACTCTGTCTCATGTACTGTAGCAAAAGCAATAGATATATTGCTTCTTATTTCCCAAGAGCTTTTCTAATATTTTTTATTAATGAGGTCAACACTCTCCATTCTGACCTCAGCTCCTGTATTGTCTTCTCTTTCCAATTGATCCATCAACAGTGGAGAACAGTTTAAAAATAGAATCAAAGTCCACACAACGGATAATAATTCCCGGAACCTGGGAGAAACATTCTAGAAACAAAGACATTGTTACAGTTTACACAGCTAAGATTTACAGATCAGAGTGTACGGGATACAGTTCAAATTACAATTCAGTTGCGCTCTTCTGTTAGTGGATCCTAATGGAAAAAAGAGAGGGCAAATTTTGGTAGATCCTCCTGCAGTCTCCATTGCCCTCTCCCCAGATTTGGTCCAGAAGGTTTGAGGCTCCTCCAGAACATTGTGGAAGGTGACATGTGGAAGGTTTTCTTTTGCGGAGTCGAACTCAAGATCAAGGCTGTCCAGGAATGGAAGAACTTCTTCCCAGTTGCAGAAGAGAATAGTTGAAAATGAGCCAAAGTTTCAATATGACTAGTGGAATTTTTCACTGCCCGGAACCCTCAGAAGACGTGAATTTATTCTTCTGACCATACTTATGGGAAGCTGTGACTTTCAGCCTCAGGGGTTGAGCCATAGCTCAGTGTAAGAGCATCTGCTTTGCATGCAGATGGCTCCAGGTTTGATCCCTGTCATCTCCAGGTAGAGCTTGGAATGTTCCTTGCCTGATCCCCAGATAACCACTGACAGTGAGTGTAGACAACTAACTCAGAGAGATGGACCAATGGTTTGACTCAGTAATTTCCTGTGTTCCTGGCAGGGTCAAAGGGCAGACCCTTGTATTCAGGCAAGAGCAGAACTTACGAGAGTCAGTGAGTGAGAGAGAGAGAGATCTTGCCACCTTGGATGTGCTTAGAAGTCCACTGCCACCAGGCATTGAAACTATAGGTTGGACTAGGAGCAATCACCTTTAACACAGTCCAAAGTTCAACTGCACCCTAAGTACAAGTCAAGTCTAAAATTCTATAACTCAGGCAGGTGAGCTCAGCTGCAAACTATATGTCATGTAAACACAATTGCATGCAACAGATGGACCATTGCTCCATCTAGCTCAGCACTCTCTCCACAGACTGGAAGAAGCTCTCCAGGGTTTCAGAAAGGAGCCTTTCTCAGCCCTACCTGAAGAGTCAATGGACTGGATATTTTGGCTGCAAAACTATGAGCTCTACCACTGAGAGGCTTTTGTTGCCTCAGAATGGGAGTCTTTAACTGCAGTTTGTGCTGCTGGCATTTGAGCCAGGCAACGCAGGGAACCCCATTTAGCACTTCCAAATTGGTGCTGATGGGATCTGAATATAGAAACCTCCATCAAATCTCAGAGTCTGAACATGGGAGGCCTCTTATTTAGGACAAAACCGCGAGAAGAAAGCCAAGTGATACAAACAGCAGAATTGCATAGCATAAGCTCTTCTGATACCGTACCAGTTCAAAAGTCCTGAGGGCCAAGCAGAAAGGCTTGGGAGTCTGTAAAATCACACAGAGCTCTGAGGGTTCTCCACCTCTGCTGTCAGTACTTACCCGGCCGAGAGTAACTCCCACTGAATTCAATGTTAGGATGCAGTCCCCAACACACTTAAAAGGTAAAGGTAAAGGTACCCCTGCCCATACGGGCCAGTCGTGTCCAACTCTAGGGTTGTGCGCCCATCTCACTTAAGAGGCCGGGGGCCAGCGCTGTCCGGAGACACTTCCGGGTCACGTGGCCAGCGTGACGAAGCTGCTCTGGTGAGCCGGCACCAGCGCAGCACACGGAAACGCCGTTTACCTTCCCGCTAGAAAGCGGTACCTATTTATCTACTTGCACTTTTTAGGGTGCTTTCGAACTGCTAGGTGGGCAGGAGCTGGGACCGAAAGACGGGAGCTCACCCCGCCGCGGGGATTCGAACCGCCGACGATGCGATCGGCAAGCCCTAGGCGCTGAGGTTTTACCCACAGCGCCACCCGCGTCCCAACACACTTACTGAGATCTAAACCTCACTGGACATCATGGGCCTTACTTCTGAGTAGACATGTAAAAGATTTCACTGTTAATTTCTTTTTTAAAAAAATGTTCTTCCCCTCTTTTAAGACAACAACAACAACGATAGTGCTCATCTTTCATGCCGAAATCATGAATACTGATTTCCATTATCATGGAGTAAAATGAGAAAAGCGTAATACTTCCATCTACCAAAAGACAAAATTGTAGTGCCATCTGAAAGCTTTCAAAATGCCCGTAATTTTATATATATATATATATATATATATATATATATATATATATATATGAATGTAAGATAATTACACTTTTCATCTCAAAACTGCTCAAAGCAGTTCTTAATCCGGTTAAGGGATATGCGTGCGTGGAAGCAGGAAGTGCATTGTAAACTACTCAAGGAATATGATTGATGGGCGGTATATATGAAAAAGACCTTCAATACCTAAATAAATAAATAAGCAGATCTTGGGTCATGTGTCCCTAACTGGATAGGACTCACACTAACTGGAAGCACACAGTGCTCCAACTGAGTTTGGTAGCCAGGGCTTGACAAAAAGAGTGTGTGTGCATGTGTGTGTGTGTGTGTGTATGTGACTGGATTTCTTCACCTCCAAATATTCATCACATTTATAGCCTACCTTTTTCCCAATAATCTCACCCTCCTCATTTTAGCCTCAAAACAACAAGTCAGTGAGATAGGTTTGCCTGAGAGGCAGCGACTAACACAAATTTCAACCCTATTTATTAAATAGTGGGTGGACATTATTAGCAGATGACACAGAGATTTCTCCAAGTAGTTCTTTATAAGTAAGCTGGAACTGAACTGAACAGCAAACAGCTCAGCCGGCCTGCTTTTATAGGCAGCCGGCTGTCAACATTGTAACAACAACAACCCGGGGTTTCCCGCCTAAATTAGCTGACGTGGACCTGAGTGAAAACTATATACACAATACTCCTGGTGACCAGGGTGAGAACTTCAATACATAACACTATCCCCTGTGTCCTAGTCCAACACTGGTGAGATTTCAGCTTTTATAAAGTGCAATGTGCTCACAGTCTCCTGCATGCATTCCATTGGTTTGAAGGCATTGGTTTGCTCCCATAAAACGTGTCTGGGGCAAATGCTTACGAATGGCAGATAGAACTAAGAGAAAAATTGCGGCAGAAAAGCTGGGAATTGCCCATTCGTATGCAGATGCTGGTGCTTAAATCTTCTCCAGGAAGGTTTTATTTGATTCATTCCCTTTAAAAATAAAACACATATATCAATATGTGCTCCCTTGCACTTGGTGAGAAATTTAAAATGCATAATGTGAAAATGTATTCCTTAAAATAAAGTCACCCTCAACTTTAAGTACTGACCCTGCATCACCTCTGGTACTTAGACTGATGTATTATTCCATCACATATTCTCTGGCTCCAAGAGTCATAACAATTTCCAACCTGGGGTGGGGTGGGGAGGAGGAATGTACATTCAGGTTTGCAAATTAATTCACATAACCTTTGCTTGAGGCCTTTGCAAGAATGAGAAGAAGGCTTATAAAGTCATTGTTAGCTTTTTAAAAAATTCATTAGTGGGTACAGGAAAAGTGATATGATTTTACTTTAGCTGACAGGCTGCTGACACGATGCAAGCATGTTCATATTTTATTCTATCATCGCCACAAAAGGAACCTGATCCACTGGTGCCAGATCTGATCTTGTATCTTTCTCTCCCCCTCGAGTCACTGAGGGTTTTTGCATGTTGCAGGAGACATGCATGCCCTGTCAGCAAGAATCGGGCCCACTGACCTGATGCTAACATTTTCTACACCAGCAAATAAGGATGGGCATCACAACACAGTTTCACATTGGCAAGGTACTATGAGCCAGATTACATCAACTTGGGGATACGGCAAGTAAGAACTACAGTGGTACCTCAGGTAACATACGCTTCAGTTTACATACACTTCAGGTTACAGACTCCGCTAACCCAGAAATAGTGCTTCAGGTTAAGAACTTTGCTTCAGGATGAGAACAGAAATCGTGCTCTGGCGGCGCAGTGGCAGCGGGAGGCCCCATTAGCTAAAGTGGTGCTTCAGGTTAAGAACAGTTTCAGGTTAAGAACAGACCACCGGAACGAATTAAGTACTTAACCCGAGGTACCACTGTAATGTTCAAAATACATCTTACTTGAAATTCATTGTTCAGTCCAATGCTCAAGGAAGGGAATGGTGGTGGTGATAGTAATAATAATAATAATAATAATAATAATAATAATAATAGCTCCCCAAAGCAGTCAGTGGCTGTGATCAAGGTCAAATCCACAGTATGGAAGGCTGCTAAAAATCTCCCCCACATGCTTTTTGTTCCTGAACCTGCATATAGCAGCTTGTGGAAATTATCAACTGGAAAACGGCAGTGAACAACATCCTTAGGCTGCAGCAATGCCCTGAATGAGAGCCCCAGTGACTCTTTTGGCGTTTAAGAAGAAGAATATATTTAAAGCAGCATGTAACTTGACCCAAAGCAGACAGAAAAGCTGCTTGCCCAAGTCTTATTGCTTTTGTGTGGACTGGCATTTTTCAAATGCATGCTAAAGATTTCCAAGAGCTGGCCATCTGTTGGACTAGCCCTATTACTCAAGAACCATGGTGATCTACGTGGTGTGGTTGGATTGTTCTGGATAGGGTTTTCCTCCCCCTTGATGTAATTGGCTGGGCTGTATAGAACCCAGTTCTATACAAGTTTATTTATAGGAAAATTCTGCAGCGTCCAATGGAACTTCCTCCCCAAAGCAGCACCTCAGCTGAAGTGCACAGCATCTCAGAGACTAAGCCTGTCTTGGATTCTGGCCTTTGTACCTTTGGGATAAGGGACGCAGGTGGCACTGTGGGTAAAACCTCAGTGCCTAGGACTTGCTGATCGTAAGGTCAGCAGTTCGAATCCCCACGGTGGGGTGAGCTCCCGTCGTTCGGTCCCAGCTCCTGCCCACCTAGCAGTTCGAAAGCACCCCTAAGTGCAAGTAGATAAATAGGTACTGCTTTATAGCGGGAAGGTAACGGCGTTTCCGTGCGCGGCGCTGCTGCTGGCTCGCCAGAGCAGCTTCGTCACGCTGGCCACGTGACCCGGAAGTGTCTTCGGACGGCGCCGGCTCCCGGCCTCTTAAGCGAGATGGGCGCACAACCCTAGAGTCGGACACGACTGGCCCGTACAGGCAGGGGTACCTTTACCTTTACCTTTACCTTTGGAATAACAAAGTGTCCCTATCTCATTTTATCTGCCATTAAGCTGTTGCTTGCAGAGGCTTCCAGTGTTTCAATTCTGTCCTGAAAGCAAGAATATATTAATGTGCTGTCAAGATTGTGTTTGTGTAATGAATTTTACTTATCCATACCGATGAGAGTCAAGTGCACTTGGAAGTATGGCAAAGGTGGCGATAGCATGCTTTGCCTGTGTGTGTGTTGCATTAGTGGTTATGTAATTCCGCATTTGGGCAACAATTATGGGTAAAAGTAGACTTTGAAAATAAGGTCAAGGAAGACATACTGACAGGATGCATAACTGTGTCCTTAAAACAAATCTTATGTGTATTATAGGAGAGGGGGCCAAAAGCTAAGTGACTAAGAAGTATTGTATGCTACCTCCAAATTTTGCTCTTCTCTTCTTTTGATATCACTCCCGGAT